CGAGAATTTCATCATCGCTTGCAGCTGGGGTTGGCATCGTCCCCCACTCCACCTGATGTCGAGGGTAAATGGGCGAGGTTTAAGACTGTGACTCGTGCAGCTGCAATGGCTGCTTTGGGTACGCGGTCCAGACCTCCCCAGAAACCCTGGCTGACAGAGGAGGTGTTCAGGTTAATTGAGAAAAAGCGACAGGCCCACTCTCATCGCCTACAGCATCCCACGTCAGAGAATGAGAAGGTTTACCGCAGCCTTCGCTCGGAAGTTCGGAGAGCCGTAAGGCGCTGTAAGGATGGGTGGTGGTCGCGGGTTGCTGAGGAGATGGAGTCTGCCTCAGTGGCCCGTGATCACACATCACTATTTAACTCCATCAAAAAAATAACCTGCAGCGCCACACCTATTACCATCATTAGAGGAAAAAACGGTGATCCAATCTCCGACCCCCAGGAACAGGTTTGCAGATTTGCTGAGCATTTCTGTGAGGTCCTGGGGGAGGGAAATTCTCTCAGCCAGGAAAACATCATGGCACAAAGTGGTGATAACCCTGCTGAGGCTGCGGTGCCTCAAATATTGGAAGAGGTCACCCCCTGTGAGTGGCTGGCTGAGGTGCCAGCTGTTGAGGAAGTACTGAGGGCGATCCGGAGTCTGAGACCAGGGAAGGCACCGGGCAGAGATGATCTCCCAAGCGAAATGCTGAGGGAGGGTGGCGTTTGTGCACAGACTGCCCTATATGACATCATAACAACAGTCTGGACCACTGGACGGGTTCCGCAGGACTGGAAGGATGCCCTGGTGGTCCCCCTCTTTAAAAAGGGGGACCGCACCGACTGTAACAACTACAGGGGCATCTCACTCCTCAGTTTGCCGGGTAAGGTCCTGGCAAGGATTATTCAACATCGCCTTGCTAGGCACGCTGAGGAGAGGCTTGCGGAGCCCCAAAGCGGTTTCAGGAAAGGGCGGTCCTGCACAGATGCCATATTTTCTGTCCGTCTGCTACAGCAGAGGTGTAGGGAATTCCAACAAGACCTACATCTCTGCTTTATTGACCTGGTCAAGGCCTATGATACCATCAGTAGGACTGGGCTCTGGGTTGTTATTCGTGCTTTCGGAGTCCCTGACCCTCTGCTCACGATCATTAAGGACCTTCATGATGGTGAGCGGGCCCGGGTAAAACTACGTGGCCGGGAGTCGGAGCCTTTCCCTGTACACCTTCGGGTGCGACAGGGATGTCCTCTGGCTCCCACATTATTTAACATCTATTTTGACCGCGTAGTTCGTGAAGCCTTCAATAGCTGTACCGGGGGAATTTCCATTTGGTACAGATATAATGGGAGGCTGATCGATGCCCGGGTGCGATCAAGGGATGGCTCCCTATTGGTCAACCACGTTATGTATGCCGATGATTTGGTAATAGCTGCTCATTCAGAAGAGGAGTTGGAGACGCTGCTGCTGAGACTGGAGCGTGCCACTAAGAGGTGGGGCCTTACCATCAGCCCCACCAAACTAAGCACCTGCCTGGGTATTTTGTACCATCGGACACTCCACCCCCACAACTCCCAATTGGTGATGGGGCAGTTGTGGAGAGAGTGGAGAGTTTCCCATACCTGGGCAGTGTGCTTATGACCGGCTCCAGTTTATCAGCAGAGGTCTCACTCCGAATCAGTCGAGCGGCAATATCTTTTCATCGGTTGCGTAACGCTGTGTGGAAGCTACCTGGTCTGTCGCTCCGCACGAAGCTTCAGGTCTTCTCGGCCACGGTCATTCCCTCCCTTCTCTACGCTTGCGAAACGTGGACCCCCCTAGTGGAGCATCTTCGCCGGTTGGAAACATTTAGGCTGGCCTGCCTACGATCCATCCTGGGTTTAACCAGGCTGGATTGTGTGAGGAGCTCACAAATCCTTGAAAGATCTGGGCAAAGTCCCATCAGTGAGCTCCTCCGGCAGGCAAGGCTGCGTTGGCTAGGTCATGTAGCCCGCATGCCCAGCCACCGCATGCCTAAACAGCTTTTGTTCGGCCAGATCGAGGGGGCTAGACGGGCGCGGCACGGGCTAGAGAAGAGATGGAGTGATGTGGTACAGGAGGACGTGGAGCTGAGTGGACTTGCCGATGACTGGTACCAGCGGTGTCAAGATCGGCCTCAGTGGAGGAGGCTCGTGAAGGACGCTACTGGGCAGTTGGAGGCAGTCGCCCTCCAACAACAACGGAGGGCGGAGGAGCGACGCTCACAACAACGAGCGGAGCGCCGGGTGGCTAAAGCACAGCAACTTGGTACAGTTGGGGGCACAGGTGGTGCATCAGCCAGTCATCTCGGTCATCTCGGTCAGTCGACCCGTGGCACCTGCTGGGTCTGCCCCGTGACCTCCTGCCAGCGGGCGTTCGACACTTCACGTGGCCTCAAGGTGCACTTGGCCTGGCACAAGCATCGTGGTGACGTCACCGCCACTTAGTGGCGAATGGCGGTTGTTGTTGTTGTACATGTGTGTGTAAGTGCACGTGTCCGGCATAAACAGCCCCCTACCTCCTCGTGGTGCCGGACGGCAACGCTGTGGTGGGGAGTGCCATGGGGGGAGGGCCAATTTAGATTGGCCCTTTCCTTCATGGCGTTTGTAACCACCACAGCGACCAAATGGGGGCTTTGGACGGGTGCGAGGGGCTGGTAACCCCTCCACCTTCAATTAACTATCACTAAACTACGAGTTAAAAAATGTATTAAGCTTGTGCCGGAGGCTCCGGGGGGACAGGTGTCTATGACTTCTCCTGGCCAAACCTCATTTGGCGGAGCCAGGAGACTGTGCTCACCATCGGGGCTCCTCCAGAAACAACAAAAAGCCACTACGGATGGCCACGTGGAATGTTCGAATGCTCACTGAGGGGTGGACAGTCCTGTCCTCGGGGGAAGGAGACTGCCAAGCAACAGGGAGTGGCTCTTCTTCTGAACAAAAGAATGAAGGGGGCGTGGGAGCTTGGCGGTGAGGTGTGGGAAGCTGTAAGCCCCAGGCTACTTTGGGCTCGCCTTCCCATCAACCAGAGATGAGGAGTTGTGGTCGTGGTTACTTATGCCTCCACCGAAGACGAACATCCGTGGAGAGATGCAGGCAAGGCCAATGAGTCAGATGCCTTCTATGACCTGTCACAGGTGCTGGCTAAAGTGGCCCCTCGGGATAGAGCCATCTTGTTGGGTGACTTTATGCCCAAGTTGGTCATGATGCTAACACCTGGTCTGGAGTGATTGGAAGACATGGGCCAGATCAGCCCATGGGCTTGTAATTGCCAACACGCTGTTCCGGCATCGGCGCATCCACACAACATCATGGATGCATACCGAGTCCAAGCAAGAACATCTGCTGGACTACGTAGTGACGGAACAGCGGATGTGGACCCATGTCCTTGGCACCAGCACCTACCGTGGAGTTGATCTGCTCACTGACCATTGACTTGTCATCTATAAGATGCACCTGACCTTCTTCCACTCCGGTGGTGGGTGTACACCCAGGACCCCATTCAAACCCATAGTGGCATGGTCTCGGCTAGCTGATGAAAATTGGAAGTGAGAATTTAATCATCACTTGTGGCTGGGGTTGGTATCGTCCCCCACTCCTGATGTCGAGGGGAAATGGGCAAGGTTTAGGACTGTGGCTCATGCAGCTGCAATGGCTGCTTTGTATACATGGTCCAGACCTCCCCAGAGACCCTGGCTGACAGAGGAGGTGTTCAGGCTGGCTGAGAAAAAGCAACAGGCCCACTCTCATTGTCTACAGCATCCCACGTCAGAGAATGAGGAGGCTTACCGCAGCCTTCGCTCAGAGGTTCGAAGAGCCGTGAGGCGATGCAAGTACGGTTGGTGGTCGCGGGTTGCTGAGGAGATGGAGTTTGCCTCAATGGCCCGCGATCACAAATCGCTCTTTAACTCCATTAAAAAAGTAACCTGCAGCGCCACACCTATTACCATCATTAGGGGAAAGAATGGTGATCCAATCTCCGACCCCCAGGAACAGGTTTGCAGATTTCCTGAGAATTTCTGTGAGGTCCTGGGGGAGGGGAAATGCCTTGTCATGGAAAACATCGTGGGACAAAGTGGGGATGACCCTGCTGAGACTGTGGTGCCTCAAATATTGGAAGAAGTCACCCCCTGTGAGTGGCTGGCTGAGGTGCCATCTGTTGAGTAAGTACTAAAGGTGATCCAGAGTCTGAGACCAGGAAAGGCTTCGGGCAGAGATGATCTCCCAAGCGAAATGCTGAGGGACGGTGGTGTTTGTGCACAGAAGCTTGGTGAGGGCGGAGCTCGGCTAGGACCCGGAAATCCGCTTGTAAGTGTAAATGTAAGCTCGGCAAGGGCCCGATGACTGGTACCAGCGGTGTCAAGATCGGCCTCTGTGGAGGAGGCTCGTGAAGGACGCTGCTTGGCTGTTGGAGGCAGTTGCCCTCCAACAACAACAGAGGGCGGAGGAGCGATGCTGACACCAACGAGCGGAGCGCCGGGTGGCTAAAGCACAGCAAGTTGAACAGTAGGGGGCACAGGTGATGCATCAGCCAGTCATCTCAGTCAGTCGACCCGTGGCACCTGGGTCTGCCTCCTGACCTCCTGCCTCAACGCGCACATAGCCTGGCACAAGCGTCGTGGTGACGTCACCGCCACTTAGTGGCGAATGACGGTTGTTGTACGTGTACGTCTGTATGAGTGGGGAGCGGTCATGTAGTGGTTAGCGCGCTGCACTACGAACCTGGCATACCGAATTTGATTCCCGCTCGCAGCCAACACCAGTGACTATTATCTGAACCGGTCCTGGGCTCTCGTAGGTCGACTCAGCCTCAAATGAGTACCTGGTGTGATGTGTAAACATCGCCACTGAGGACACAAAGGCGGCCGGGCGTGGTGCTGGCAACCCACCCCCTCGTGTGCTGTTTCGGTCTTCATAGGTGCTCGCCAACAACACTTGCCCCAACAGTCTCATCAGCCTATATGGGGGATCTTTGTCATTGTACGTGCACGTCTGTGTGTGCAGCTCAAAGAGGAGCAGGAAGATGTGAGTCATGCGATTTCTCAAGACATATCCGGAACAGGTAACACGCACACACACAGACATGTTTGCACACAGCAAAGACAAAGACACCCCCGTATAGCCTTAACTAACTGTTGGGGCGAGTGTTGTTAGCGAGCACCTATGAAGGCTGGTACCGCACACACACCTACACGATTACACACCTAGAATCCTAGATGTACACAAAGACACCCACACAGAAATGCACAACAACAACAGCCGCCATTTGCCACTAAGTGATGGTGACGTCACCATGGCGCCTTTGCCAGGCCAGATGCACTTTGAGGCCACGTGAGGTGAGGTGTCGAAGGCTCACTAACAGGAGGTCACGGGACAGATCCAGGTCCAATGGTTTGACTGACTGAGATGACTGGCCGATGCACCAGCTGGGGCCCCTCTGTTTTTGCTGGAGTGTCGCTCCTCTGCTCTCTGATGTTGTTGGAGGGCGACTGCCTCCAACTGCCCAGTAGCCTCCTTCATGAGCCACTTCCTCCATAGAAGTGCACCCACACATATACACACATACACGCACACCTATACTTTTACACACACAAACACCTACTCTTCCTGTTTGTCTCCTTGTATTCCCACATCTCCCTGTCTCCCCGTGTCCCTCTGTGGCCCTGTGCTGTCCCCCACACCATGCCCCCCCCATGCACCCCCCTGTGCCCATCCCCCCGTGCCCCTCCCCGTAGACGACTTGGAGCTGGAGGAGGAGCTGTCAGCACTATTGCTGCTGGATGAGGCACCCCCCACCGCCTCCTCGACGCTCCTGCCGGAGTTACCAAGAGTTCCCCAGGCCAGCCCCGATTGCCACGGTGAGCTGCGGTGACACGTCACATGACAGGAAAAGTAACATCTTATGTCAGGAAGCGGTAGGGTGGCGGCACAGCAAACGGTGCCTCGGTTGAATTCCTGACTAGGGTGCTTCCTCTCTGCGTGGAGTTTGTTCTCCCCCCTGTTGTACAGAGTGAGTCTGCATGTGATTGTGTGTCTATCCATGTGCGTTTACCTGTGCGGGGAACAGTTGCGCATTGGTTAGCGTGCAGCGCTACCAACCCGGTGACACGAGTTCTATTCACTCTCACGGCCACTAAGATTATCTGATCTGGTCCTGGGCCTCCCCTGGGTTGACTGAGCCTCAAATGAGTACCTCGTGTGGTGTGCCACTGGGGAGACAAAGGCAGTCAGGCGTGGTGCTGGCCACATACTTCCTGGTGTGCTGTGCCAGCCTTCATAAGTGCTTGCTAACAGCACTTGTCCCAACAGTTTTAATTGTTGTATGGAGGACCTGTGTATATTCGTGTGTATGTGAGAGTGCATGTCGAGTTTGTATGTTCTCTCCTCGTTCTGCGCCGCAGTGGCGAGATTTTAACTACCTCTCCTGATATACAAGAGGTCGCGGGTTCGATCCCGACCCTGACGCCTGTATATTTGGAATTTGCATGTTTTCTCCCCATGTAGGTTTTTCTTTGTGTCCTCTGGTTTTTCCGTCCACATTTAGAAAGATGCGTTTAGAGTATTTGGCTGCCTTACCTAGTAAAATAAAAAATAGTTTAGTTAGTGAGTGCAATTATATTGCTAAATCACATCCCCAATGATGAACCAAAAATAATGCACAACATTGCCACCTACTTCGAAAACTTGGCAGGATCCTCCTGAAATATTTTCTAATAATAGCGTCGTAGCAGTAATAATGAGAATGTGGCGTCGCATGACAGAAAGTGGTGCTGTGTGACAGGAAGTGATGTCGCAGGTCGCATGTCGGAGCGGCTCCTTAGCGACGTGGAGCTGGACCTGTCGCGGCTCCAGATCCACGGCGACGTGGCCCGTAGCCACGGCAACATCACAGGTAGATGGCGACACAACATCGTCAGCACCGTTTCCAGTGACACTGGTACGGTGTGTGTGGGAGCAGTGGTGCAGTGGTTAGCACGCTGCATTATAAACCCGGCGGCCCGAGTCGAATCACGTTCGCAGCCGACACCAGTGACGATTATCTGAACCGGTCCTGGGCCTTCCCTAGGTCGTCTCAGCCTCAAATGAGTACCTGGTGCGATGTGTAAACATCGCCACTGAGGAGACAAAGGCGGCCGGGCATGGTGCTGGCCACCCACCCCTGCGTGTGCCGTGCCAGCCTTCATAGGTGCTCTCTAACAGCACTTGCTCCAAAAATCTGTTCAGACTAAACGGGGATATTTGTCTTTGTGTGTGTGTGTGCGTGTCTCTGTACATGTCAGGACTGCAGGCGAGCGACCGTCAGACTTCCGTCATGGATGCCCTGTGACCTCCGCCCTTGCTTCATTTTGTTTCTGCATCTCCCCGTCACGGAGCGGTGCACCACGGGGGGTGCCTGCACCCTCTGGCCCTCCCAAGGCCCCGCATCTCACGGCCCCCAGATGACGGGGGGCTCGATCACTCTGTGCCTCTCCTCGTGCTGAGCACGGCTGCAAAGGCCCACTGCGGCAAGCCACCAGCGGCAAGCGGCACTGCCAGAAGGCACGATAGATCATCGTACCTGCCTCTTTATTGAAGTGCCACTCCACAGGAGAATGCAGTCCCGGCAGCTGCGAGAGTTTGAGTACGAGACTCGCACACACCCCATTGTAATCCTGATTGTGCTACTCTTGGCTTCGCATCATCGCTAAAACAAAGGATTCTCTTTGGAAATCTCGCAGAGCTGCAGGGGAGTAGACCCCCCTCACAAATAGAGAGTGGCCCTGTGGAAGAAGATACAACGGAGCTACATCCGAGAGCCTTTTCTTCATGTGGCACTCTGGTCCACACACAGTAGAGGGCAACACCGTTTTGGTGACCCAGGTGGCTCTTGCAAGAGAGAACTCTAACCCCCCTGTCTCCTTGAGATCTCGCCCGGGTCAAACAAAATCAACCTGACTTGACCTTGCTGCCCGCTCTGCCACAGAGAGGCAGTGTCCGTTGTGTGGCAGTCAAACCGTAAAGGTTTATATTTACGGGATCTAACCCAGATAACCTATATTATAGATGATATTAGTCGCGAAACCCTACGTGTAAAACAGAGCTGGAATTCAGCTAAATTGAGTGCAGAGCCGCACTTGTTTTCTGTGTGTGCAGTGATTGGTAATCGGGCCAAGGTCGAGGGTTGCCACCTGTCCTGGTTCTTCCAGAGATTTCCTGTGTTTGAGGCAGCTGCTGAGCAGTGAGCTACGAGAGAAGAGAGCTGTGAGTGATCATCCTGCGTCTCCCTCCGTCACTCAAGCCGGATTCGACTCAACTGGAGCTCGCCAGTGACATCAGTACTCGGCACTTGGGATCTCCCTTGATGTCCTCCAGGTCACTTCTAGACTCGAGCAGGCCACGCATGTGACCAGTAGTATCCACAACCATGACAAGAGGGTGTACTGGATGTGGTTTAAGACTGTTGAATTTAGACTTGGTTTAAGACCACGTTTGTTGAATTTAGACCAGGTTTAAGACTGTTCAATTGAAATCGTATGAAAGGGCTTGTTTGTTCATGTTAGAGCAGGTTTAAAACTATGTTGATGTTAGACCGGGGTTAAGACTGCGTTTAAATCGTATTTATTGGACGAGGCTGGGTTTCAAGATGAAGCTGACGAATGTTTGAGGCCAGATGAACTGAAAACCAGGTTTAAGACTGTTCAATGAGGTCCTGATTGAGGTGAGGGCTTGCTGTGGGCAGGGTTTAATACGAGGTGTAAACCTGTGGTTCGGACGGGTTTCACGGGATCTTGGGTTAGACTGGGATTATGTTGCGGTGTTGCACTTTAAATAAAAGCCAATAGTTTGATCACAGCATCGGTTATTGTGATCATACGGTGGCCACTGATACTCTCCAATTAGCAACCATTGACCTACATCCTGCGCCGGGTTCTCCAGAAACTTTTAAAATCACTGAACATGTTTAATATTAATCCCTCTGTGCTTTGTGGGAACCCTGCTACCCCCACATGGCCACGCTGCCACTATTTCATCACTATCAGGAGCGCCAATATCTGTGGGGGAGGCTAGAAGCACGATCCTGAAGATGGTGTGGAAGGCAGGCTCATTCTGAGATTAGTTTTAGCAGCTGGGGTTCGAGCTGTGTTCTTGCGACACGGCAGCCATGAGAGGGCTAACTGTATCTGCAGATATGCTTTCCGTGCCTCACAGCAATAACTTGGCTACGAGTGATTAAAGGGCAGTGACCAGCACCTCTCCACGCTTGTGCCTCGAGCACTTGCGCCTCGAGCACTTGCGCACAATGGATGAGGAGTGCACACTCTGGCGCCTTTCCTCCTCGTGAGAGGGAGGAGAGAGCGTGGAGATTTCGGAATTTTGGCGCCAAGTGAAAGCCGTGAGCGATAATGGCTACAGCAACGCAAGGCAGGTCCCCCTGCGTTCCGAAGGATGCGGTGGTGATGCTCAAAAGGAGCAGCCCAGGGACCGGCACAGCACCCTCGCACAAAACACAGCACCCCGGGAAGCGGAGAGACCCGGGTGAATCGAGGCCAAAGGCCCGTAAACTTCCCGGTGGGGCCGTGGGGTAGCCGATCGCTAAAACCGGCAGCGTCCAGACACCACTTTGTGTCGGCGCCATGAGGAATCGCCTCCCCAAGTGAACTGGGGGAAACAAAAATGGTCGGAACCATCGTGCCGTCAATGCCTGCCTCACCCAGTGATGGCCCCGGAGGCAGTTGGCACAGCGAGAAGTGCCCTTGGACCCAGGACCATTAGAAGAGCAACGGTTAATAGGGAAGCTTTGCCGTGCAGGAGGGCATGCAAGCCAGTGCCGAGTAGCTCGGACGAGGAAGCAGTGGGTTAGTCATGTGTCTTCAAAGGAGACCTTGACAGTGAGGAGGTCTCTGAGCTACAGAGCCTGGGTGAATCTGACCACGGGGTGGCCCAGGGAAGCTGCACATAGACGGTCCGGTTTTGACATGGCCAGAAGCCTGTTGTCTCACGTTGGAGGGGGCCTCCTCGGGAGGTCCCCGAGAAGGCACTGCCTGCGTCTGACCCCTCGGGATGGGGCAGGAGAAAATACCGGGAAGGGAAAGAGCCCCAGGGTGGAGGAGGATAACTCGGGGGATTAGCCTTTGCCACTGAAGGAGGATGGAGAATGTTCCTCCTCGGGCAAATCAAGCTTTGAGAGATATGTAACTTTCGCGAGGCATTCAGTTTTGCACAGGGACACCGTCAAAACATGGATGAAAAAGCTGATAACTAGTATGGAGGTGATGGCGCCCAACCGCTGAGGAGAAAAGTCACCTGTGTCGGTGGTCAGAGTTTGTGACCGACACGCTCTGCATCCCCCCGCGCTCCTTCCCCTCAGTCACCCGTAGGGAGGGGACACGATGAACCCACTGCCAAGAATGCTCCGGTCCGCTGTGGGTAACTTTGCGTGTCCTTGGCTGGCATTGGCTACCTTATAGTAATGCTTTGCGTTGGATGTATTTGTCCCATTAATCTCGTTTGTAGATGTAGGAGTCATGTACGTGACCTGCCCGACAGCTGGCCTGGTTATGTCGTCACGAGTTACGTCACTGATGAAAATGGCGGTGTGGTAGTCACACCCTGCTTAATATAGTAGTTCCTAGGTTAACGGTGACATCGGTTAACAGATTTCCAGTTAACGTTTCGCCTCACATCGGAACTCCCATGGTTTCAACTAACGTTACATTTTTGATTAATGGTATGTTTAGGTTATGCACGCGGGTGCCAATTTCGGCCAATCCGAGCGCTCGTAAGTGGACTGAACCATGCCCTCAGCCAATCAGCGACGCCCATTTATGAGAGTTTAGACCTCGATTGGCTTTGTTTTTACATTATGTTTTCTGTTTTAGTCGTGGCAACAGCTCTCTTGCAGACTCATGTAATTCCTATATTCGATTAACAGTTATATCGGTTAGCAGCAGTTTTCATGGAAAGGATTACTCGTGTTAACCGAGGGATTACTGTATTCACAATTGTCATCGATGTAAAGTTCCTGGAGTGCCCAGCACAGGAGAAAGTTCAATGGCTGCGAGTCATATCGTGTCAGTGACCATTTATGACAACCAGATTCAACGCAATTCCGAAAACCTCGTTTTACTCAGAACGCTAAACGCGGCGCCACTGCTCCCCACCAGCGCTGGTCCCATGCCGCGCGGTGACACCGAGAGACGATCTGTAGTCACGCGGAGACAATCTCCTCTCTAACGGGATCATCGCTCGAGCCACGCTAACAGCCACACACCGCACCCACCATCTCCAAAGACAAGGATCCCCTCGTGTAGCCTTGAACAAACTATTGGGATAATTGCTGTTGGCGAGCACCTATGAAGACCACACGGTGGTGGGTGGCCAACACCACGCCCATGTTTACACCCCACACCAGGTACACATTTGAAGCTGAGGAGGCCCAAGACCAGTTGAGATAACCCCCATCACAATCACAACACACATACCCTCCAACACTAACACGACTACCACAGTCTAATCTCTACAGCCATGCAAGCAACCGCAACCAACCTGCCGTGGCCTGATGGCTCACAAGGCATCCCAAACACAACTACAACCACCACCACAATTGCAACCACCCTCCCAGCCTGGGTGCTAGAGGTCATGGGTGGTAGTGGTGTTGATAATGGTGGTGATGTGGGCAGTGGTGGTGATGAGGGTGCTGGTGTTAATAGTGGTGGTTTGATGGTGGTGGTTGTGGTTTGATAGTGGTGATGATGGGTGGTTGTGGTGGTGGTGATGGTTAGTTGTGGTGGTTATGGGTTGTGGTGGTTGTGGTAGTGATTGGTGGTTCCGGAAGCCCTGTCCCCTATCCCTGACCCTACCCCGGATGTAGGGGTCAGAACCTGGGTTGACACCTGGACCCTGGCCTCTGCTCACGGGAGGAGGGCAGGAGAGTGAGCCGGCTTTTATGTTCCTGCGGGGCCGGTTTGAGTAGTAATCGGATGAGCGCGTTCCACTCGGGGATCACTCCTGATCCCCCCACTCCCCGCAATCCCCTCAATCCCCCCACAGGGCGGCGGAAGGTGAGTGTGTACGTGACTGTGTGCCTACGAGGTTATGCGTGTGACGATGTCATTATGTATGTGTACGTGGGTATGTGTGTGTACGTGACTGTGTGTCACTGTGTCCGTGGCTGTGGGGAGCGGTGGTAAAGCGGTTAGCGCGCTGTGCTACGAACCCGACGACTCGAGTTCGATTCTCGCTCACGGCCAACACCGGCGACGATTATCTGAACCGGTCCTGGGCCTCCTCGAGGTCGACTCTGCCTCAAATTAGTACCTGGTGCGGTGTGTAAACATCGCCACTAGGGAGACAAAGGCGGTCGGATCTGGTGGTGGCCCTCGTCCCCTCGTGTACTGTTTCGGTCTTAATAGGTGCTACTCGTTCACAGCACTTGCCCCATCAGTCTATTAAAGGCTATACTGGAGATATTTGTCTTTGTGTGCACCTGTGTGTGTGCGTGAGCTTGCCCGTGTGAGCTGAGCTCTCCCCGTCTCACTCCCCGCGCTGCTCCTCACCGGAGCCATGCTCTCCTTCCCTTCTCCCGCTCTCCTCCTCATCCTCATCTCCAGCTCCAGCATCATCACAGGTAAGAGAACTTTGGAGCAGGGGACCAGGAGATCTGGGATCTCTAACCAGGGAGAATCTGGGACATCGAAACCTGGGGCCAGGGGAGCTGAGATTATGAGATATGGAACAAAGATCCGTTCAGTACTATTCTTCACAAATAAATGCAGTTGTGTTTTACCCATCCCATCAGCTACACGTCCTTGTGGGAGTGCATCATTTCAACAGCAGCGGTGCAGTACCAGCAACACTGGACCGGTTCCGACATTCAGTGTCTCATGAGCAGAGTTAGGAGCCAAGAGATGTGGAGATAAATGAGATGTGAAGTTTGAACTTTGGAACAGGGACAGGAGGAGGCATGGGTGATGGTCGTGTGGTCATTGTGATGGTCACGGTGTGTTGCTACTAATGTGATGGTGACCTGTGAAGGTGATGGTGTGATGGGGATATTGACGATTGTAATCACGATGATGTGATGATGGTAATGGTGTGATGACGGTTATGATGTGATGCTGATTTTGGTATTGATGTAATGCTGGTGTTGTGATGCTGATGATGTGATGCTGATATGATGTGGCTGCTATGATACTGAAGTAGTGATGTTGATGTGATGCTGATTGTGTGATGATATTGATGATGTGATGTTGCTGATGATAATTATTTTGATGTTGAAATTGCTCATTTTAGTGATGAAGATGTTGCTGATATTGTTCATGTCGTGTACTGATGATGCAGTGATGATTATGTGAATTCTGATTATGTAAATGATGATGATGTGATGTTGAAATTATGTTATGAAACTGATGTGATGTTGATGAGATGCTGCTGATATTGCTGATGCTGTTGTGATGATGATGCTGTGATGTTAATGATGTATTCCTGATGTTGTGATGGATGATGCAGATGTTGTGATGATGTTGTGATGCGAATGTTGTGATAGTGGTGATGTGATGATGATGTAATGCTTATGCTGTGATGTTATACCGATGTTGTGATGTTGATGACCACTTTGTGATGCCAATGTTATGATGCGCATAAGGTGATGCCGATGTTGTGATGCTGCTGTTGTAATGCTGATGTGATGCAGATGTTGTGATGCGGATGTTGTAATGCTGAAGATGCTGTGATGTCGCAGTGGCTGGGATCCAGTGCTACGCGTGTGTGGGCCTCTCGGAGCGGCAGTGCAACGCGCAGGGGGTCACGGCGTGCCCCCCACACTCCGACACGTGTGCCACCTTCATCGGGGGGCCCTCCACACGTGAGTAACATCACCACCACCACCACGACGAACATCACCATCATCATCACCATTATCATTACCACCATCAACATCACCTCTCTATCACCAACATCATCACCATCAGGGTCATCACCGCCACTATCACTACCATCACCATCACAACCATTAACATCACTACCATCACTACCACCGAAAACATTACTTCCGTGTTTGGGAGCCGGGTATACTGGATGTGGTGTGCCACTTGCAGTGTAATTTTGCACTCATCCCCGTGCCAGTCACTCGCCGCTGTCACCTCCACCTATCAACGACATGTGGCGATACTGAGACACGAAGACAAGGATGTCCCATACACGGTGTTAGGGGAAGTGCTGTCAGTGAGCCCCAATGAAGGCCGCCACGGCGCACCTATGAGTGGATGGTGTGGCCAGCACCATGCCAGGCCACCTTTAGCTCGCCAGTTTTGATGCTCCCTCCACATCGCGCCGGCTTCTCTCGCAGTCTGTGCCACGCGCGGACGCATAACGCGGGCCGTCGCCTGGCTGCAGGGCATCTTTTATTTTATTTATGTAGATAATGCCCACTGAGCTACTCTATAGCTATCACAAATTATAGCTCAACGAAGTGGCTGATCACGTGGAAATATATAGCGGCCAAATACTCTAAACGAATTTTTCTACAGACTCATAGAGACCCACATATACCCAGAGACCCATCCAGCCCCACAGAGACCCATACACATGGAGACCTATAGAGATCCAGAGACTCATGTTGGCTATGTACGGTGCAAAATAAGTTCAGCATACATATAAAACCACAGATGTTAACTACCTCGCCCGGTATGCAAGAGGTCGTAGGTTTGATCCCAACCCTGATGTCTGTATATTTGGAGTTTGCGTGTCTCTCTCTCTCTTTTCCCGTGGTCGCGTGGATTTTTCTCTGGGTCATTCGGCTTTCCCTCCACATTTAAAATCAAGATCACGCATTTAGAATATTTGGTTACTGCTATACATTTCCACACAATAAGCCACTTCATTGAGCTATCATTTGTCACTTCTGAAAAATAACTATATAGCACAGTGGGCCTTACCTGGTAAAATAAAATAAAGTAGTTATAGTGAGAGTAAAAAAGGGAGAGGCTTTTAAAGCCCGGACACTCCTCCTCACACATGGCCAGACCCCCCCAGAGACCCTGGCTGAAGGAGGAGGTGTTCCGGCCGAGAGCGGTGCGGCGCTGCAAGGATGAGTGGTGGGCGCGGGTTGCTGAGGAAATGGAATCTGCCTCAGTAGCCCCCAATCATAAATCACTCCAACGCCTGACCTATCACCATCCTTAAGGGAAAGAATTGTCATCTGATCCCCCAGGAATTGGTCTGCAGGTTTGCAGAGTATTTCTATGTAGTCTTGGGGAAGGGGACAACCCTACTGTTAGGCATTGGCAAGGTAAGGTAAAAGTTAAAAGGTAAAAACAACGAGCCTACTTTACCCTACCTTTTACCTTACCACAATACAATCACTCTACCCTTACATTTTACCCTTTAGCAGGTAAGGTACAAGGTAAAGGGTAAAAAGCAACGAGCCTACCTTTACCCTACCTTTTACCCTTACCCCATACAAATTACCCGATTACAGGGTAATTACTAGGGATCTACTACACATGAACAAGGTTGATAACGGTAAATGCTACGTAGAGCGTTTTAATCATATAGAATACTCTCGATGATTCCAATTTTACACGCTTTCTTTTAACTCACTCTGTCGTTGTCATTATTGTTGTTGTTGTATCCTCAAATCTTGAAACTCAATTTTTATCCTAATGTGGTATCGACTGCAAACTTGGTATACTTAGGTCATGTAGATGATAATACTATATTCTATCATAAAAAATCTATATTTATAAACAATATTTTTTACATGTTATGTTTCGGCTTGGGTCTAATTGTCCACGCTCAACTGACGTTGGCTGTAAATCACCACGGTCCCTTACGTTGTGGCAAGCTTCGGGGCCACTTCCTGGAGTCGTGGAGTTCTATCATTACTCGCACATTTCATAAAAGCGTGTTTTTAATCAAGTTTGTTTTAATATTACTTATTAAATGTAGGCCACGGAATGCGCCACGGACTGCGCCACGGAGCTTTTATCTGTTAACAAGGTACCGTATTTACCGGGTAATACTTTGCGCTATCTTTACCCTACCGGGTAATTCTTCCGAGCTACCTTTACCTTACCCCTTGCATGTCGACATCTTTACCCTTTACCTACTGTGGCTGAAGTGCCTCAAATATTGGCAGGCGTAGCCAGCCTTGTGAATGGCTGGATGAGGAAGTGCAAGAGCCGATCCAGAGTCTGAGACCAGGAAAAGCGCTGGGCAGAGATAATCTCCATTGCGAAATGCTGAGGGAGATTGGTGTCTGTGTACAAGCTGCCCTACATGACATCATCACAACTGTCTAGACCATAGGACAGGTTCTGCAGGATTATAAGGATGCCCTGGTGGTCCCCCTCTTTAAGGAGGACCATACAGACTTTAACAACTACAGGGACATCTCACTCCTCAGTGTGCCGAGAAAGGTCCTGGCAAGGATTATTCAACATCGCCTTTCCAGGCACGCTGAGGAGAGGCTTGCGGAGCTCCAATGTGGTTTCAGACTAAGGCGGTCCTGCACGGATGTCATATTGTCTGTCCGTCTGCTACAGTAGAGGCGTAGGGAATTCCAACAAGACCTACATCTCTACTTTATTGACCTCGTCAAAGCCTATTATACCATCAACAGGCCAGGGCTCTGGGCACTTCTTCGTTCTTTCGGAGTCCCTGATTCTCTAATCACAATTTTTAAGGGCCTCTATAATGGTGGGCAGGCCCGGGTAAAACTACGTGGCCAGTAGTCAGATCCATTCCCTTTTACTCACCTTGGGGTAGGACATATATGTTCTTTGGCTCCCAGATTATTTAACATAATATTTGACCACGTAGTCTTAGAAGTTTTCATGGTTATACCGGAGGAATTTCCATCTGGTACAGACACAATGAGAGGCTGATCGATGCCCGGGTGCGGTCAATGGATGGCTCCCTATTGGCCAATCATATTGCTGATAATCTGGTGTTTGCTGCTCACTCAAAGGAGAAGTTGGAGGCGTTGCTGCTGAACCTGAATAGATGGGGTCTTTCCATGAGCCCCATCAAAACTAAGCACCTCCCTACCCCTCAACTCTCCATTGGCAATGGAGCAGTTGTGGAGAGAGTGGATAGTTTCCCATTCCTGGGTATTGTGCTTATAACCAGCTCCGGTTTAACAGCAGGAGATCTCACTCTGAATCAGTCGGGTGGCATTGTCTTTTTATCGGCTGCGTCATGCTGTGTGAAAGCTACCTTGTTTGTCGCTCAACACTAAGCTTCGGGTCTTCTCGGCCACAGTGATGCTTTCTCTTCTCTATGCTTGTGAAATGTGGACCCCTCTAATGGAACATCTGCGCCGGTTAGAAACAGTCAGACTGACCTGCCTACGATCCATCCTGGGTTCAATCAAGCTGGATTGTGTGAGGAGCTCACAAAACCTTGATATATTTGTAGTGGTGTACATAGTGTGTATATAGCGTTGTACCGGCGGAAAAGAGGTACTGCAGATGCGGGACCTCTCCCGAGCACTGGTGTGCATCCGTGAGGGGTTGGGCCCCCAGGGGGCATGGTCCGAGTGCCAGTGGGGAGAGGCCGTGTGAGGACATGGTACTCCCGGTGAACACGGGCAGGGCACGTGACTAGACGAGGGGATAACGGGGGCCACGGGGCATGTGACGGGCCACGTGACCAGATCCCCGACTCTACCAGAAAGATCTGGAAAGGGGGCGTGGCCAAGGGCGGAGCCTGGCCATGCCAGGGTCGATAAAAAGGCGAGTCGCGCGGATTCTCAGGGCTCGTCTCTGGGAATGGATTCAGCGGGCGACGTCCACGATCCCCTGCTACAGCGTGGACCTGACAGCACGTGGTTCTCTGGATCCGAGCGCGTAGACGAATGGTTGTGAATAGCCGTGGTGGTCACCGAATATAGTTATCCCGTCAGTGGTTACGAAGTTACCCGGGGTGGTTACCGCCGTATATAGTCTCGCTATTGAGTGGTTATGTGTTAGCCCGTGGTGGTCAACACCCTAAGTAGTTGTGCAGTGGAAGTTGTGTTGTTCAAGGAATAAACGTGTTGCCTCCAAGTCTCGGCATGTGTCTTAATAGAACCCACTACATATTTGTGCACATTCCCATCAGTGAGCTCCTCCGGCAGGCAAGGCTGCATTGGTTTGAGGCATGTAGCCCAAATGCCCAGCTACCGCATGCCCTAGCAGCTTCTGTTTGTCCAGATAGAAGGGGCTAAACGGACACGACACGGGCTGGAGAAGAGATAGACTGATGCAGTATAGGAGGATGAGGAGCTCGGTGGACTTGCCGAAGACTGGTACCAGCGGTGTCATGCTCTATGGAGGAGGCTCGTGAAGGGCACTACTTGTCAGTTGGAGGCGGTTGCCTTCCAACAACGGAGGGCAGAGAAGCAACGAGCGGAGCGCCAGGTGGATAAAAGTCAGCAGGTTGGCACAGTAGGGGGCACAGCTGGTGCATCTGTCAGTCATCTCAGTCAGTCAACCCATGGCACCTGGGTCTGTACCGTGACCTGTCAACGTGCCTTCGACACTTCACGTGGCCTCAACGTGCACCTGGCCTGGCACAGGAGCCGTGGTGACGTCACCGCCACTTAATGGCGAATGGCGGGTGTTGTTGTGTACATGTGATGGTGTATTAGTGGAGTGGTAGTGTAGCTGTTAGTACACTGCGCTACGAACCCAGCGACGCGGGTTCGATTTCCGCTCATGGCACCACCAGTGACGATGATCTGAACCGGTCCTGGGCCTCCCCTATGTCAACTGAGCCTCAAATGAGAACCTGGTGCGATGTGTAAAAAAATTAACCCGTAAAAACAAAGTTTTTCACTATAAATCCTTTATATGCGTGGCAGCTAGAGTCCTCTCGTCCTCT